TCGGGGTCGGGGTCGGGGCCGGGCCGCGGGGCTGCCGAAGCGGGCCGCGCGCCGTGCAGAGAGTTTTTAAGTTTTGTCCTTGGACTCTGCTTTGCGGGCTCAAGTCAGGCAAGTTATTTTCTGGAAAGTTTTTTTTACAAAATGTATTGTTTCGTGGGAAAACAGATTTGACGGACTTCTGTTAGCGGTCCTTACAAAGCAGTTTTGTCACCTCATAGTTGAAAATGCCCCCTAAGTTATTTTGTTGGCAGTGGGGAGAAATTCTCATCTGCACGTAGTTTATCTCATTAGGGTCCACGAGCTTTGTTTAAGTTTTTTTGTTTTCTCTCTGTGAGGCAAATTCTTGTTCAATCCAGCCTGTCCTCGAATTTGTAATCCTCCTGCCCCAGCCTTTGGAGTGCTGGGATTATAGGCGTGGTTGCCACTCCAGTTTTGGTTTAAATTTCTTTTGTTGTTGTTCTTTTGTTTTGAGACAGGGTCCCCTATTGCACTACAGGCTGGCCTTGAACCCACTATGGAGCCCAGGCTGGACCCTTACCTCTAGGTGATCCTCCTGCCTCAGCCTCCCAAATGCTGAGATTATAGGCTAGCGCCACCACTCCCCGCGGTTTAAATTTCTTACTGACAGATTCTGACGTTTCCACTTAAGGCACAGACTTTGAATTTAAGGAATCTAAAGACCCCTTTATCTCTTTTCCTTCTCTAAGTATTTTTTCACAAACCAAAAATCCAACGCATGTGAATATGAATGACAGACAAGAGTGGCATTGTTTTTTATTTCTGCAAATCTTTTGAATGCCAGGTTTAATAGAAGACAGATTCTCAAATCAACTTCTGCATTGGTGTCCTGTGGTATCAGAGCATGTAACCTCTGGAAAACACGGGTACCCTCATACTTTTTGTTTTAATGTACAACTATGTCATTCCCTGCTTTCACCATGTAGGTCAAGTCGGGGCATTATGCAAGACTTGCTTCAAAAGTACAGATAAGAAGAATGATTACTATACATTTTCCTTGGGCTCTTCTTTTAAAAACTTGGGATTTAGGCCAGGTGTGGTGCATGCCTGTAATAGCAGCCCTCTTGGGGACCTGAGGCAGTTGATCACAAGCTCCAGCCCAACCTGGGCAGTTTAGCAACTTGATGAAACCTTGTCTCAAAAAAAATTTTTTTGAAAAGGGCTGGGGGGCATAGCTCAGTGTGAAGGCCCTTTGTTCAGTTCCCAGTACTGAAAAAAAAATTGGGATTTAGGTGCATAAACAATACCTTCCATAGATAAAGATTACATAATCTATGATTGTGGAGAGTCAGGAATGTTGAGAAATACTCTTAAGTGATTAAACTTTTAGTTTCAATGCATATCTTTAATGTTGTACACGAAGCATGGGTTCCGTGTTAGGTGTGCTTGTGAAAATGTGTGTGTGAATGTAATCAAAGCACTATGAGAACTATAGAAAAATCCTGCAGTGAAACCCTTGGAGTAGTGCAGAGTTCTTACATCTGGAAGAATCAGGGTTTCCTGGGTGGGTGACAATTCACCACAGTGTGTCAACTTTTAAGATCATTCTTCGATTGAATAGTTTTGAAAGGAGGCCAAAAGTTTCCAGTTGTTTCTGTGAACTCTCGTCGGGATCTGTCAGTTGGTAGTTCTCTCCTGTTCCATCAACAGGAAGCATCTGGTCATTCTTCATGTAATTGTTAGAAAAAGCCAGGTGTATTTTTAATGTTGCTGTTTGTGTGAAAATAGATCGGATCTTGGTTAACTTTACTTGATTTTAGTTTGTGCAACCCCTCCCTGCCCCAACCTTTTAATAGGTAAAGCAAACATGTTATTAGGAATTTAGAATTTTTTTTTCCCCCGTACGGTACTGCGGGTTGAACCCAAGCTTCACACTGAGCTACATCGCCAGCCAGCCCATTTTATTTTGAGACAGTGGTTTTGCAAAGTTGCCTCAGCTGGCCTCAAACTTGGGCTTCTGCTTTCTCAGCCTCCTTTGTAACTAGAAGTACAGCCATATTCCCCAAGCCTGGGCTGCTTCATGGTATTTTGTGGGGGTTTTTGAGGCAGGGTCTCACTATGTAGCTCAGGCTGGCCTTGACCTTGCTTATGTAACACAGGATGGCCTCAAATTTGGACTTCTCCTGTCTCAGCCTCCTAAGTGCTGGGATTACAGGTGTGTGCTACCAGACCTGGCTGCTTAATAGTATTTTGAATAATCATGAATTCATTTTTGAGAGTGTGTGAGACCCTTGTCTAGTTCCCCTTTGCAAGTTCCGCTTTGCAGGAAGTAGCTAAGTGCAGATGCGCTGACTGGTGGCGTCCATCTCTTTTTCTCTCACTTGGCTCGCATTGAAGAAACCCAGACAAGATGTTTGACTTTAAGATAGCTTGGTTTCATTTTTCTTTTCTATTTTGTGGTACTGGGGAGAGAAGCAGGACCTCTCGCATGGTCAGTGTAAGCAAGCCCTCTCCTACTGAGCTGCTGCCCTGCCCAGCCCTTTTAAGTTTTATTTTGAGACAGGATCTGGTGAACTTGCCCAGGCTGGCTTTGAACTTGCAGAACTCTTACCTAGCTTCCTGAGTAGCTAGGCTTGTGGAGCCTGCCTAGTTGGTTTCCCTTTTATTTATTTTATTTTTTTTTAATTTTTATTTTTTGGTTTTCTCGGGTACCGGGAACCGAACTCACGACCTTGCGCTTGCCAGGCAGGCGCTTTTGTCGCTGAGCTAAATCCCCAGCCCCTCCCTTTTATTTTTAAGTTGACAGATAGTTGGGCATGTTTTTCTGGTCCAGCATGGTAATTCTATGCATGTATCAGTGTGAAATGTTCAAATGAAGGTAATTAGCATTTCTTTGAATTCTTCTCATTTTTTATAATGTATATAATAAATTATAAACTACAGTTATCCTACTGACAACTTAGTTTTTAAATGAGTATTACTCCTTTGGCCTTGGTTTTCCATCAAGTGATCACGTTGCTGTAGCATGAATGTATCTTCTTGGGGCAGTAATAGCATTGTACTGTATGTAACTCTTTTGAAGGATTTTTTGGGGAGGGGTGGGATGAAGTGCCCCTCCCCCAATCCTCATACTAAAAGGTATGTCTGGTGCCAGATGAAATTAGTGTTAGGACCTCTGTATATCCTCAGTGTTGACACTGCAGTGCTCTGGTGCTCCGCTGTCAGTTCAGTCTTTGCAGGGATAGTTAACCTTTATTTGGGCTGACTACATCCATGACAGGAGTGTAGAGGTGTAGGCCTAGGCTTGAAATGATTTCTCCAGTACAGATAAACTCATATGCAGGGCCACTGACCGATTCAGATGTAGAAATTTAAAACTCTTAGCCCTAGTTCTCTTACTTTTTAACTGGGAGCTTGTGCATTAGGAAATGTACAAAAAGACTTGATGATTTTAATGTTAATATTAGTCAACTTACACTACTGTACCATTTTTCTGAAAGTAAAAAGGTTAAGTGGTAGGCCCGCATGTACCGTAAGTTTTGGGCCCACTTCACTTTGTACCGGCTGTGTTATGCCAGCAATACTGTATCAGCATCCTATCCAGCGGGGGACTTTGTATCTCCCCAAACCTGATATTATATTACGGCCACCTGTAGATTATTTAAAGCAACACAGCAGAAATAAAAACAGAGGCACACACTTCAGTAGGGAAGGACCTGGGCCTCCTTTGTTGACGTTCCCAAGGTCATAGACGCCAGGTTTAAACATCACCAAACTATAGAGCACACGCAGGGACCTTGGCTGTGGGAGAAGTGCAAATGAGGGGTGTTTGGCCTAGAGGAGAGGAGCCCCTGTAAGAAGTGACAGCAACTTTATTTGTGGATCTGTCAGAAGGACAGGTTGAATCTGACCAGAAAGAGACGCCATCAAAGGGTTAGAAGTTGGAAGCAGATTTCAGTAGTGTTCTGAGAGAAATTTCCTTTAAATTGCAAAAGTGAAATGGATTGTTGTGGGCGGTAGGCTTTCCCGGTTCCCTAATGAGTGACCAGGTTGGGGATTCTGGGGTAGAAGAGCTGATGTGTGGAAGGAGGATGTGGGTGAGGTGTTCTTGGGCTCCTTACAAACCGAGATTTTGTAGAATATGTCTAGGATTGCAGGTGTTGAGAGGAAGACCAAAACTAGTTGAAACAGTTGAGCTTAATTGGATCCTAATTTTCACCTTCTTCGATAGAGAACAGTATAGCTTTTGTTTTTAACGCAAGGTCTCACTATGTAGTCCAGGCTGGCCTTGAGTTTATAATCCTCCTGCCTCAGCCTACTAAGTGCTGGGATTACAAGCATGTGCCTCCATACCCTGCTGAGAAATGAGTATTAGGTGAGTGGGTTCTTTGATGAAGAGTTTTAAGATACATTGTAATTTGGCTTAAAAATGGATGTACCTTCTTGCTGGGCATGGTGGCACACACCTGTAATCCCAACACTTGGGAGGCAGTGGCAGGAGGATTGCCGAGAATTTGAGGACAGCCTGGACTACACAGGGAGACCCTGTCTCAAAAAAGTAAATAAATAAAGGACATGCCTTCTGAAATGGACATTTCCAGTGAAAAGAATTTGTCTTAGTGTAGTAAAGGTGTAGGTGAAGTGTGTCGATTGTAGTACTGTTGGTAATAGAGCTGTATGTTGGATGGGAGCTGCAGCTCCCGTGTGGCAGAGCTTAGCATGCATTAGACCTTGGACACACTCACATGCATATACACACACACCAGAACAACCAACCAACCAGAGAACTGGTTTATACTTGTAAGCCCTGTAGCGTCCTTACGAAGTAGGTAGGTAGTTGGCCCATTTTTCAAAAGGCAGTACTGTGGCGTAAAGAAATGAGGAAGCTAGGACTTGAATCCAGGCAGTGTGGCAAGAGCCAGCACTCCTGATCGCTGTCCTAAGTTTGTAAACACCTGAATGTTTGCCAGTGACTGTTAGGGTGCACCCCTAAATGGGGGTGCTTCTTCACTAAACCTTCCATTAAAGCGGTGAAGTTAGAAGAATGTAGACATGAAGAGGTGTCTTGGTACATGTAAGTGAAAAAGTAGATTTAATCCAGGGTGTAGTTTGATAAAGAATACATATCAAATTGTGAACTATACAAAATT